GTTATGGATTTATTGGCATCTCACTCGATTCAATAATAGTTGAAGGGTACTATCAGTGGACATTTATTTACATTTATTAGAATAGTAATAAATGTATATATATTTCCACTCAATATGTGTATGCATGCTCTCACAGACTTGTCTGCACATTCCACAATCAGTGTTGGAAAATGCGCGCGGCAGCGCCAGCAGCACCGCTGTCAGGAAATTTTTAACAACTGAAATATCTTCGCAGTGCCGAGATAAGCCATTCCGAAGTTGATGTGAGGACTGGGGACGAGTGTTAAAAAGTGCCCAAATTAAGAAATGAACCAAATCACTAAAAAGACCACCTCAAAATTAGTAAGTATACAAAGTTTAAAGACGTTTACATGAATACCCTTCGAATAATAAGCTTGTGAAATTACTGATTAAAAGATTGTTTTGGGGACGCGCGTCCCAAAAACAAAAATTATAATACATTTCATAGTAAATGTCACGATTTTTGAAAGCTTATTTAATTTAATAATTCGAAGGATATTCATGTAAACGTCTTCAAACTTCAGTGTATACTTACTAATTTTGAGGTGGTCTTTTTAGTGATTTGGTTCATTTCTTAATATGAGCACTTTTTAACACTCGTCCCCAGCCCACTCATCAACTTCGGAATGGCTAATTGAAGTGTGCCGAGAGCCCGAGATTGAAGTTTATCACAATGTGCAGGACCATACGTTCTCTGAAATCTACATATGCAGCACGTTTTATATTTGACTTACACAGGAAATTTTTATTTTTGGATTTTGCGCCAGGAAGTGTAATATTTCACATCTCTTGAAAGTTGATTTCTCATCTCGGTAACGAATGCTAATGTTTTCACGAGTTGCTCATGGTGGATATGTATCCTAAAGTTTCAAATGCTGTAAAATATGATAGTATGAATATTAGTCTAGAAGGGTCATCTTTTAGAAATTCGTAGCAGGGCGAAATTAGCAAAAAATGTGCGAAGCAATTTAGACGATGCTAGACGTATTTGACATGTTGTGGCCTTTCGACGACTTGAGCCGCATAATAACACCATTTTTAGCGATCTTGTTTGCGTCGTGCGTTTCGGATATTAAGCATGTTTATATCGTTAGTTCTTCAGAAAAGCGCAACAAATGATATTATGTCATTGACATATCAATTTATTACTCATATAAAGCGTAAATGTACGGATACCAAAGTTGTTGTATTTATGGAAGGATAAAATGAACACAACCAGGCCGTGCGTGAAATTAGACAGTTCAACTTTGCGCGAGTTATTTATCGCGGTTTCGCGATATGGAAATAAGTTCAACGCTTGACATTACTTTTGAATACATTCTCTAGAATGGTCATCAATCAAAATTTTACGTTTTTCGTTATAAAGGTAAAAAAATAAGATTTTAAACGAGCTTTGCGATCTATCCCACCGCTGACCAGCTCCTTTGTCAGAAAAAAACAGTGATCTTTCACAAGCTACCATGGACGAACGGAACGAAATAATGTCTTCATTTTCCCTCACGTACTAAGGAATGTGACAAGTAAAAATGGTCTTTCAAAAAAATTGGATTTCCATTAGTGCTTAAGCGGCCAAAGCAGTTTATTTACAAACTAGTCGTTCCAGCTCCAGGTTGAAATCGAGCCTGGAGCTGGCTCCAGGTTCGCGAACCTGGAGCTGCGAACCTGGAGCCGTCTGTCTCGTCATCTCACTTCAACGCTTCCAAGAAAAATACCGGATGTTCATCAAATTACGGAAACGAAAATCTATCAATGTGACATTCGCGAATTCACATCCGAATAGATAGACCATATCTATGAGATAGACACGGAAACGTTTTTGCATATAGCCACAACGGTAGATCACTGTAAAGGGTGAATGGTTATAAAACAAATAAAGCAACCAATTTCCAATGGTCATTTTGACTTGATTATCTGTGAACACAACATTGCTGGGATAATAGGCAATTCCAGCTTTTAGTTTATGCGTGCAGGGGATGATGGGAAGTAAGGTATCATATTGCTGATTATGCTGAAAAATTTCAATAAAAACTGCCGAAACAACCGAAATATTTCAATATTTACAAGTATAAGCTATCACTCCGTGTTTACACGGCCACCATTTTTATTTTTTCAGCATAATCAGCAATGTGATACCTTACTTCCCATCATCCCCTGCACGCATAAACTAAAAGCTGGAATTGTCAATTAACTCGGCGCTTCACAGCTAGTTTAGCCTGCGTTACGTATTGGTCGAAGTAACCAATTTCAGTCGGCCATATGGTTAAAATGTTCAAATGGTCCCCGAGCCTTTCCCAAAGGATCGCGGGCTCGAGGTACGGTATTGACAATCAAGCTGCTTTCCAGCAACCTCGTAACCTATAGGGTATTTTCCCACTTGGGGAGGAAACCTAGTAGGAGCTGGTCACGTGATATATGCTGAAATCTAGCAGACGTCAGGGGCCGGTTGTATAAAAAAGTGATTAAAGTTAACTATAATTAAGCTGCAAACGTCATCCAATAAGAAACGCGTATTTGAGAGTTAATCACTATTTAACTACAAAATAGTGATTAAAAAGTGATTAAGAGTTTTATACAACCGGCCCCTGATTAATACATGCTTTTATGAGTTATCATGTTTACCGGAATATACAGCACATACCTGTAGATTTTATTTTTGTGGAGGTAGCCAATCTTTAAATGGAGCTAGACTATGCCACATTCTCGTACCCAGAGCCCGCCTTATACACACGATCAACAGGGCATGACAAGGACCCGGTGTACGAGAATGGGTTTGCCTCAACAGTCAACTGCAGATCAAAATTTAGCCTCTGAACGAGAACAAAATGCCAAGTGTGTCAATGTCATGTTTATGCGCATATTCTGGGTATTTCAGTCTTATTTAATACAGCGGAATATAGATGTGCATTCTGAGAGTTCTTGCAGTTATTCCAGTTATTCCAGTTAGTCAGTAACTCCTGGTTTAGATAACAAGCTCCAAATGATTTTTGGAGTTAGCAACACAGCAAGTAACTTCAACCTTACATGTATGTACCTAGCGGCTATAGGCTGACTCGCCTCGCTATACACATACTTTTTGGAGTTAGGCAGTAACTCAAGGCTTAGATACCTTGTTTTTTCATGATTTTTGGAGTTATACGTAGCTCCAAATGATTATTGGAGTTAGCCAGTAACTCCAGGCTTAGATGCCTAGCTCCTAAATTATTTTTGCAGTTGTATACTTAGCTCCAAATGATTTTTGGAGTTAGCCCTTTAGAGCTTGGAGGTAGCGTCGCTCCATAACTTCCTACTTTCTACAGGCATGAATTACAGCACTTGTGCACATGGCAAAAGTCAACTATTACATCCCACCTTTCCCACATTTACATAACAATGCTAACTGAAAATCTGCTAGAATTTAGCATGTGACTATATATATATAGACTGCCATGGTCTTTCCTCTCCAAGAGGGAAGAGTCGAAAGACCCTGCGTACGAGGTTGGCTTTCCAGTAAATAGTTTTCCTGAGCACATGTATATACACGCATTTGGAGAAGCTTGCAATTAAATCCCTCTAAATTTTATATATGTGATATATGTTTAGTAAAAATATTTCATTTTTTGTAATGTGGGACAATTTTTTAAAAACTATTTACAATTTGTATTTGTTATTTTTCTATAGTGATGTATGGTTCTGACACACAAAACGTCGAAGATGAGCTACCAATGACTACGGATATGGAAGGACTTGACTCAACTGGTTCAGACACGTCACACGTGGTTGGAAGAACCATCAATAATAGGCCTAGTATATGCAATATTGAATGCAGTTCTCATAATGTACTTGAGTGTATATGTGTTTTAAGACAACACTGAAATTCTTCATTTATATTACTGAGGTTTGTAAAGAACAGTTTTATTTCTGCTTTCAAGTTGCCTAATTTATATGTTTGCGGACTTTTGGGAAAGTGCACCCTTCTATCACTACCCTTAATTGTGCGTAAATCATGGACTTAATTTGTGTGTGCATTGGTTGATGCTGATTTTTCTGAGGTGCTTGAATACTTTCTCTTGTGGGCGCACATGCACCATCTGCGCCCCCGTCGCCATACTATAGGCCTGTAAGGTTTTAGAAATGATCCAGCTATCCAGTATTAAAAAAGTTAGTTTTATAGTTCAGTTTTGATCACTGCAAAATATGATTTGATACACAATTGCCATGGTAATTTGACCTAAGTTTATCCACTTTATCGGCTAAAAGTAATAAGTGAAAAGCTCATGTAAACTTTTCCGACCCCCGCTATAGTAACTCCAGGCGAAGGGCCTTCGCTCAAAACGTCGAAATTCTCCTTATATTTTTCAGGTAGTTGCGTCCCTACCCACGAAAGCTTGTAAAAAGTTAAAAACCTTTTAAAAGACATGCTTATGGTGGTATGTTTTCATGAATTTGAGGTCTTCTTATGTTTTTATTAATTTGAGGTCTTCTTCTCCGAATCTTTGCAAAAAAATTGACTCAAAAACTTGAGTAGAATTATAATAATGCACCCAGAGTAACTCAAAATTATGAGTACGTTCACTCAAATATATGTGATTGAGCAAATTTGTTCAAGTTTTTGAGTAAAGTAAATTTTTAAAATTCTACTCAAAATATTTGAGTAAATTTAGTAAATTTGCTCACAAATTTGAGTCAAAACATTCGCGGATTTTTTGCAGTGCGTGTCTTTCGAAGCTACAAGTCTATCGAGTTCTTTCTTTGCTTCAACTAAAATAATTTCAGATGTGGGCTAAAAAGTGACCTTGCAATTTTTTCATGTGGTTGGCCGCGCAACGCTTCAGGCGGGTCACATGCAGGCATCCCTCCGAAAGTTTGTAGCGGGTTACCGTTGCCAACCTGTTAATGCGGTCAAAATGTTCCTAGCTACCGTAAAATATAAACACAACAAAGTTAAAACTACAACTCAAACACACATTAGTCGTATACACAATCTCTCATCTCTTAAAAAAATGTCTCGCTATTATCAATCGCGAAATTACAATGAAGCGCCAGCGCAGAAACAAAGCTATGGCGGTACCAGCTACGGCAAAACTAACACCTCTCAAAATTACGGAGCTTCGCAAAATTACGGCCGTGGTGGACGAAAGGAAAACGATGAAGAAAGATTGATGCGAAGTCTTTTCAGTACGTTCGATAATGATGGAGACGGACACATCTCTCAGCCCGAGTTCCTAAAAATGCTTTCCTCTCTCGGGTATACTATTTCGTCTCATGAGGTTACGCAATTGGTAAATTCGTTCGACCAGAATGGCGACGGTGAGATGGATTTTACCGAATTCATGAACATGGTGAAGTATCTGAAAAGCAAAGGTTACGAATACGGTAAAGAGGCTTTGGAGAATAAAATAAGAAAAGCCTTCAGGTATGTTTGGCCCGGAATCGTAAAGTTACGAAGTGTATGAAAGTAAGGAAGTATGGATGCTTTTAAAAATAGAGGGAAAGATAGAAGGGCCAAAAATCAGTAGACCCATATTCCGTAATGTGGAATGTAGATCGCTGGGTGGTCTCGAATTTTGATAAGAATTTTGATTTTTGTCCTTTGAAGTGTGTCCTAATTTGAAAGGGAATTAACGGCAACCGGTTAGCAAAAACTTGACAATCAAATTTAATTAACTCAAACAAGTAATTTCTGTAACCACGTAAACTAACCAGTCTTACTATAGTCTATCAACAGACATCAGTGTTGCCAACCAGCTCCCGATTTCCATACTGTCCTCTCGAATCTGAACATCTACCGATTTTTCTGAAAGATCTGCTTATTATTTTTTAAAAAGATCAGTTTAAAATTGTGAAAAGGTTCTCGTTAAAAATGCATGTACATCTGCTTTTGCCAGCATTAAAGCACTGCAAAGGAAGAAAATATAGGTGAAGGTGAAATTGTATTGTATTGTATTGTATTGTATTGTATTGTATTGTATTGTATTGTATTGTATTGTATTGTATTGTATTGTAATTGTTTAGGTTTTCTCCTGTAATAAAGGTTTTGTCTTACTGCGCGTGGTCTCCTAGAGAGAACTGCATGCTATGTTCTCAGACAAAGCCAGTTTAGTTTAGGTTTCCTTCTGTATAGTTCCACTGGATCAATAAGAGATGTCTCTTACTGATCATCTAAGGAGAACTGGGTTTAGAACTGATGAGAAATATGTCGGTTCTCAGACAAAGCCCATTTAGTTTAGGTTTCCCCCTGTAGTTCCTCTGGATCAATAAGAGATGTCACTTACTGGATTTCTAGGAAGAACAGTTTGAATCTGATAGAGCTACTCTAGTTAGCTGACTAGGTCTTTTTCTTTTTCTAGTGTCCTGGATGCAAATCAAGATGGTTATCTAAGCCGTGCTGAACTACGTTATGTTCTATGTAACACTGGCAACAGACTGAGTCCTGCAGAGTTTGAAGATTTCCTCAAGACATTTGACCTGGACAATGATGGACACGTCAGCTGTGAAGAATATATCAAGATCGCGTGTTCCTCTCTCATTGATTATATGGATGAAATTGTCCGTATGAAAGCACGATAGAATATGGAAATCTTAATGGGAACACGTTAATATATTTGACAACTTTAAATTTATAATATATATAGATCTGATGTTAATTAAGAGGCAATTTTTTTCAACGTCACGTATTTGCAATGAAAAGTGTTCAAAACCTAAAATCTTTTTGGCGTTCCTCTCAGAATTACTTTGTTTTTGCTTTATTCTCTAGTTTATACAGTTAGCTACTTTTTAAGTTCGTTTGCCGATTGAGAAACGTATCGAAAAATAAAAATTTTGAATTTAGTCACAACCTCAAGTGATATATTATACGCATTAGTTTTGAGCGCATGTTACGTAACATACAAAAAAATCTCCTCTTAAAACAAATTGTGTTGTAATTTATGCATAATAATAATTTGCAAAGGGTTCCATGCCATCTTTATTGGTTTTTGTGGTGAAACTTTATTCGTTATGGTTGATCCATAATATTACTGGAATAATAATTTAAATCTTGTATGACGGAACTTTCTCTAAGCCGCATTTTAGTAATTCTGAGTTTGGAGAATAGACCATATTGGCTTAGTACAAAAAGATTATTTTAATAACTACGTTTCGGAGTATAACTCCATCTTCAAAATCCTAACGGAGTTTTTAAAATTTGTGATTGTTTATATCTTTAGTTACTTTTAACCTGAAGATGGAGTTATACTCCGAAACGTAGTTATTAAAATAATCTTTTTGTACTAAGCCTATATGGTCTAATTATTCAAACACAGAATAATTTAAATAATGTTAATAAAAATAAATTGTTTATACACATATAAAGTGGCTATGTGATTTCGTATACTTGTATTAATTAAAGTGTATGATTTGTGTAATTTATTATTTGTAATCATTGGTATATTTTATGAAAAAATGCAATATATCTTTAAAAGAAAATATTCCATCTTCACAGGATTATCAGGCCTCAAAGTTACCGGATATGACATCAAACCGGGAATTGCAATTTGATGTCATATCCGGTAACTTTGAGGGCTCATAATCCTATGAAGATGGTATATTTTCTTATAAAGATATACTGCATTTCTTCATAAAATGCACCAAAGATAAAAAAATTAAAATCCCAAATCATGACATAGGCACTTTAAGGCTGCTTTACACTATCAAGGTTTCTGTGATCACAGTAGCAATTTTGCATGGGTAAATTCTAAGTTTTGAAGGATTACTAAGAGATGTTTGATGGAACTTACTTAATGTCAAACACTGAGTCAGTTCCCTCAAACATTTCTTACAAATCCTTTAAAACTTTCTATGCAAAATTCCTACTGTGATCACAGAAACTTTAATAGTGCAAATAACCAGGCATTAAAGTGTCTTGTGCCAACAGCCGTTTGCTACAACGTCCACTGCATGTGAGAATTTTTCCTTGTGTGTGCAACAAAACTGGTGCACTCTGCTCCAGGGTTCTTATACAAGACCTGCAAATCCTTGAAAGTCCTACAAGACTTGCAAATCCTTGAAAGTCCTACAAGACTTGCAAATCCTTGAAAGTCCTACAAGACTTGCAAATCCTTGAAAGTCCTACAAGACTTGCAAATCCTTGAAAGTCCTACAAGACTTGCAAATCCTTGAAAGTCCTTGAATTTGAAAACAAAAATTCAGGGCCTTGAACGTCCTTGAGTTTATAAAGAAGTGCTTGAAAGTCCTTAAATTATTCTTGCTTTAGTGGATATTTTCTGAAATTGTTTGACATTAAGAATTGGACATTTTGTAAATTGATTTTGTTCATATCTCACAAAGGCCAAAGCTGTTTGAAATTCATTAAAGTTTTTACTGATTTCTAACGCCTTCTTTTCAGTCCTATAGTCCTTGAATTTTCTGACATATGGCCTTGAAAAGTCCTTGAAACGTCCTTGAATTTAATCTGTGCTCATTTCTGTTCGATTAAACTATTATAAAGAATGTCAATTCTCAGATGGCGAATTTGGGGGCTACACCCATAGATATCTTATATACACTAGATAGTGCATCTAGTTATTCTGCAATTCAAAAATTGAAGCCGTGATTGCAGTCTCAGGTCGTTCCCATGAATGGGAAGATTCGTATATTTTCTATTTCTTAAACAGGGAACTTAAACATTAAGTTAAGCTTATTCCGAATACATTTTTAAAGTATTCAAATGATGAAAGTTATTGTTGTTTTTAAGCGTTTATCGGCGAGTGGGATTCAATTTTACTAAAAGAGATGCGCTATCTAGTGTATATAAGATATCTATGGCTACACCTAGCTGTGATGGTTTATCGCGACAAAAAATTAGGATCTCATCTACGGCTATCTGTACATTGCCAATTATAACTGATGAAAGCCAATTACAGCCACTAATCGGATAATAGAATTAAGATTAGCCAATTAACAATGCCTTTATATCTCGCCGTTTTCAATAGCTCTGTTTGTATATCATAAAACAATAATCTGTTCAATCAATTAACAACATGCCCCATGCTGACTAAAATTTAACCTGTTGTTTTAGTTTGAGTATTTCTGCATGTCTGTTTATTTCAGAACTTCAGAGAAGTAAACTCTTATCGATCCAGATAAGATCTCTGAAGAAATATTTCCAAATTTATAGAAAAGCTGTCAGGAAGTTTGCTTCGAATTTTAGGTTAACCAAGGGTTAAACTAACCCAGCTTTGAACAACCTGCCCCTGATGTTTACCCGTACAAGTTCAGAGATATCAGTTTCTAGCCGTTCTTTCTTCCCAGAGCAATGGAATTTTTTCAAAATCCTTGCTATGTAAATAGTATATGGATCCACAGATGGATCTTAGTTGAAAATAGTATGGAAATCCTAATTGCAATTTCCATACTATGTCTATGGACATAGTACGAATATACTATGGGTTTAGTGATGTAATTTGCGATTACATCACTAAACCCATCACTAAACCCAGCATGGATCCAGTGGAGGACTAGCAAAGAACCATTCCTTCTTGGTCCAGTATAGCTATACAGGAGGGAATCTTAGCTAGGTCAACTTTATTTCTATACTGGATAGCTCTATCACTTCTAAACTGTTCATCCTAGCTAGAGGTCTAGTAAGAGACATTCCAGTAAACTATCTATACAGTGTAGGGCATAGGAACCGTAAAGATAGAGGAGGAACATATGCCCTCTCAAGACTTCTTCGAAGCTTTCCTTTCCCAAATAAAAAAATGGCCGGAAAAGGTAGTACGTAATGGCTCCAACATTAATGTACTTCCTACGCTTCTGTTAACTGTCACTGAGTACTATATATTCTGTTTCAAATTGCTGCTTGTTGAAGTACTCTTTTATTTTGTATAGTGAAGACAATGGATGAAAAGCATGTTGCTCTGATCATGTACCTGCTGAAGACATGAGGCTAGCTAACCGAGTAACTGTGAGTAAATACTGAGTATACTGCTAAACTTTATCAGTGAGCTGGAGGGGGAATTGTCTCAACTAGTTATGTCCAAGATTGTAGCTTCATGCAAGCAATACCCATCATACCTTGCGAGCTTAATGTTTAAGGTTTATTAAGATTTCCGAATTCCGACAGAGACAATATCAACAGAATATTATATCATGATAAACGCATGATAAAAACCGAACACTGTTTTGTAAACATAAAATCATCTCAAGCCAGGCAAATTAGCTGCGGAATCTTTCAGAAATTTAATTAGTTAAAAAGCTGTGATAACACAATGTCAGACTTGTCAGTCAGAGAATGGCCTACGATTTGTCTAGATTTTATATTTTCCCATACATCAAGCGGAACTGCAGTTATCTTCAGAAAATCTCACAGCCAGAATTTAATATGTGCCAAAAAGTCACACGCGTTGCCTCCAAAACACCGTTTACGCCTATGCCATTTTATATATTAATTTAACAAACCAACCCTTTCCATACAACTGAACATAATCCTCAAGAAAAAAATTATTTAATGAATTATATATGGATGTTTCATTTTTCTGCCAAATCGAATCGACAGGTTTAAAATTTGACAGAATAGATTAGTTTCTTTTCCGACGTTTTATTGTTAGGAAGAGAATACTCGCTGGTGGCTGTCATAGCTGGACTGATCAATTTTAAAATCTGATACCCCCTTTCTTTGACATTTGAATGCAATATACCAACAACTGTATACGTCTGGTGAGCGGTTTCGCCTCACTAGTCCACCTAAAACGCTAGTCAGAAGTTAATGTGTAAAAGAACAATATGCGAAGCGGTTTTGTGAAGTCTGTTGGTTCAAAAACAAGCATAATTTCGTGTATTGGACTCGCATAATTTGGCGCTTAGAAAATAAAAGAACATAGTTATTAGCGTGGGCCCAAACAAACAATTCAATACTTGATTACCATGAAATGACATGAATGTATTATAAAGCCGTTGTCGAATTATATCAAAGGGTTTTATTATATAACACGAGTCGAGTGCGGTTGACGTTAAAACGGCTGTTCGTTCTACAAGACTGGTCACGGAGGAAGTTTCGGAAGGGAAAATACAGCTGAATCATTTTGGGTATTTAATTATCATTGACGTTTTAATTATAAACACCATCATCGTTGGCATATTGCTCAACCTGGATTGAATCGATTGAAGCATTTAAAGACGATTTAAAGCGAAGTGCCAAGCAGCCAAGTCCATAGCCAAATTGTACAACAATAAAAGGATAGATTATTGGCAAGGAATTGGTAAGTCTTTAAAAGTTTTGCATGTTAGCACTATAATCAAATCAAATTTGAATATACGTGTGACACAGCTACATGACTATAAAGTTGTCAACATGCATTGTTTCGAATAATACAAGTTGTGTAATTGTTTATGTTTCGAAATCAATGGCTCGATAAGGGCAAGGATTTAGTTTGATTGTATCACGACAACAGTATTTTGAGTTCATCTAGTAACGAGACGAATATTCGGCACGATTTATATACTATAGAGACGGAATTCGTCAAGATTTTTCACCCGTTTGAAAGATCTTTTGTGTTTGTGTTAACACAAGCTAAGACAAACTATATCCTGATGAAGTAGCTAGGACAGTGAGTCTTTATTCTGGTATCAATGACAATGGTTCTGTTTCAGTGGTAGCAAACAAGGCATATTTATTTGTGCTAGTCGTAGCTTGTCTGATGTTGTTGTATTTAGACAGCTCAACTAGAAATATAGGCTACATAGTTTATACTGGCTTCAAGTATTGCAGCGGTCTGGGAACAATTATATAGTCATGCCGTACATTTTGCTCATAGTTCGCCACTAATATGGAACTGGTACAGATATGGATGTATCATCCCTCCATCATCCGTCCTAGTAATAGATGAGATATTTAAGGTCGGTACACACTAGGCGGCAAATAGCTGCAACACATCGCAGCGACAAATTTCTTCGTGTGAACAGGAGAAATTTAAGGTCCAGACACACCGGACACGATTCGACAACGCGACGCGATTTTTCGATATTCACTGACCGATAACTTTGAATTTTCCAAATATTTAGAAGCGCTTTAACATTTTGAGTTAGCGACAAAATGAGAAAAATCTCATTATCACTCTTTGCACAGTGTATGTACATTTTTGCAACATGTCGTAGCAAGTTCCAGGCCTTAAAATATTGGTCGGTCACAGACATTGTCCAACCCAGTCGTGAAATTGTCCGACGTAGAGAGGAAACCAACCTCTGTTCGACCTAAGTGAATATCACCCCCCCCCCCCAAGAGTTAGGCCCCTGGGCCTGAGTGGCAACAAAATACAAAGTAACGTCCAGCATTTTCTCTTTGCGTTTTTGTGCTCTTTGTCATTCATGTCATATGACCTATTCCCTAATGAACAAAATTTTGATCTCGACAAGTCTAGACAAACATTTCATCACAGCTTGAAAGAGCATCACAAAATTAGTAATATTCCAAAGGTCGTAGGTTCGATTCCCACCGTGGCCAGACATATATTTTTCAAGCCTGCCCGGTGTGGATATACACTCAGAGTAACATCACAAGCATTCCGAAGTTTCGTTGCGAAATGTTGTAAAATGCGGATAATATAGCCCTGCGAAGTTTGCCGTTTTTCAGTCATTTTGTATTACGCACGGGAAATTGATACCTTTTCTCAGAAAGCGGCTATCAATTTCTCATGCGTAATACAAAATGACTGAATGATATAATTGATATATTTGTGACGCGCATTTCATCGTCTAATGCTTGCTATGTTCCCTGAAAACGACCAACACTGGCAACAATATTTAAATATTCCATCGTAGAGTGGCATTGTATTGGATTGGAAAACTTTATGTAAACAGGTTAGCCTCTTCAGCTGAAAGCTGGTATTCATGAGGGACCTGCATTTAAATTATTTTACACAAATGTATTTAGTAATAAGATCTAAACATGCAATTCACACTATCAATTACGTAAATAATTCCAAATTAGAGTTTTGAAACTAGAAAGGGTTGTTGCCTCTTTAACTCTAATAGGCAATTTATTATATTGTAAAGGTCCATTAAATCTGAATGTTCTCTTACCAAGTTCAAGCTTCATCTTAAGAAGATGTAGATCGTTTTCCTCCTTCTATTGTGGTCGTATGGCATGGTCGTATTCTCACGTTCTTGACTAAAATACTCAGCTGTAGTATATTGCTACACGTTGAATTAGTTTATATACTACTTTATAGCTACACAACTTCAACATTGAAGTTCAAATTGCAGGTAAAATCCTCCAACACCCCCCCCCCCAGGGGCGAAACTAGCCCCTTATAATTAGGGGGGGGGTCTGCTAGAATTGCCCTGCGAAAGTCGATGATGCCCTGCAGCAAAAATTTTTTTTGGCCACTATTTCTCCCAAAAATGTTGGGCGAAAAAATTTTTCCTGCATGAAACCCTTGCATGAAACCCTTATTTTTTACCAATATCTGTAAAATTTAGGTCTATAAATTCTATTCAATTCCCTCTGGAAGCCCTCTGGAAGCCCATAACATCAAAATTTGAACCATGAAAGTGCATGAGAGTGGATGAGATGCGAGCTTTATACTGTTGACTTGCAAGAACAGGGGCGCCGGAAGCAATGTGAAGCGGCGGGGACAGCCATTTCAAAAGGGCACTTGCTTCTCAGCCATCATTTTTCTGGGCGGCAATATTTGTTAAAACTTTATTGTATGGATACCCGATTACTTGTGGCTATTGTGGGTGGGCAAACTTCGACATTAATTTTGAACAATGTTATTTGTTGCACCATGTTAAGGGCGCAAAATAAAATCAGTAAAGGGACGTATATATTGCCTGATTTAGCATTAATCAGGGGCCGCGGAACCGGTGGCAATGAGGGCATGTGCCTCCCCACTTTTTTAAAAGTGAAAAAATGCCCTTTTGGGGGGCTAGAAAGAAAGTGCCCTTTTTGCAGTAGTAAAGACTCTGTAAAGGCCATTTCCGACTTTATAGGGACTCCATATTTTCAGAAATTTTTCGTTCGGCTCATGAAGGACATAAAATCGTTTGATTTTGATAATAATTATACAAAAGTGATTCCGCGGCCTTTGGCATTAATTTTACTATAACTGGTTAAAATTAAGCAAAGATTGCTTGTACATTGCTTAAAAATAGTTATAAATTCCAATTCATGTGAATAACGCACAAATTTCGAAGCGCAGTTCTGGTGAAAAAGGGCAACCTGTTTCCCCCGTGCCACCCCCGCACTGTTTCGGCAACGGGGGCAGTTGCCCCCGGTGCCCCTCCCCCGTGGCTCCGGCGCCCCTGTGCAAGAATACTCGTTAGGATGATCAAGTTAATTTAAACCAGCGGGCAGCAGTAATATAATAATAATGATTTGCAAGTAAAGTCTCAGACTCAGCAATAATTAATATATTCTCTAGGACTGACTGTTCGGTATACCGATATACCGAAAATATCTGTATTAAATCAATATCGGTATATCGTTACCGGATATTCAACCGTACCGATTTACCGAAATTTCGGATATAGCGGAATTTTTCGGTATATCGTGTTAAATTTACCGACTATATGGTGAAACCATAACCTTTATTTTACTATACTGAATGGCAATTCAAAGAACTTTCTACTGCAATGATTTAGAATTTCCACTTCAGTGAGATTTTACACTGAGTACGTGCATGTCGTTCGAAAAATATCGTTTTCCCTTTTAGAATTACTCAAAATTTCCTTCAAACTTCCATTAAAGAAGTTTCCTTTATAATTATCAAAGGAAAACCGGTATACCGATAATTTCGGTATAATTTTTTCGGTATAACCGATACCGGAAATTTCTCATACCGAACATTCCTAATATTCTCATCATTTTAAAGTGAACGTGGCTTACATTTGCCAGTGGCAATATATTCATCTTAAAACAAATAAACAAATTATATTTGGATAATTGAGTTGTTAGCTACATCTGTCACGCTCAGAAATGAGAATTCTCAAAATTTGGGGCAATATTGGAGTTTTGAGACGCCGACTTGAAAACCCCCGAAAATCACTGGACATGTTGGCCATTATTATATCCATTCCCCAGGGATAGAGCTGGACCTAAATAGGGGGGAGGAAGTAAGCCGAAGAATAAATACGGTAAAAGGTTCATCAATTATAATGGAGCCGCACATTGAAATAATCTTCCCTATAAATGAGGGAAAAATGACACTGTGTACTTAAGTTCTTTTAAAACGATTTTAAAACAAAGCATGATTTGAAACTCCGCATGGCTCGCCAATTTCAATTTTGAATGAATTAATAATGTCTTGTTTTTTTTTCTGTTCTGACTACCCTAATGACTTGTAATCTTTTTCCAGTATCTTGTATCGTACTGCATGTATCATGGAAATCAGCTGAACGAATTGTTGAGACTAGGGTGTTTTAAATAAAGTCTGTGGACTGTATGTATGTCTCGCTAAATATAGAAATGAAAATAATTGGATAACTGTGGTCGATACAAGTCATTTTCTCTTTGCATGTACTGCTGAGTTCCAAGAAGGGGCCGGTTTCGTTATCATTAATGAAGATGCAAAAATGTGGTTTAAAACCACAACCTCATATTTGAAAGCATCAAGTTCAAAATGCAAAGTTAAAAAGAGCACTGGCAGTTCTAATATCCAGTTCACAACATACGCAGTGTCAACTGATGTCTGTGACAAATGAATAAGGACCAGGTATATTATTTCTGTTTGTATGTAATATGTTCGGATTTAAACGGTCAAACGAGGGCGTTGATGGGAGTTGCACTATATTCGCTCGTGTTTGACCGCCGACTATTATAAACTCTTATCAACTTTGAAGCCGTTCAAACTTTGATGAGAGTTGATTTGATTATGAGAGGTTTCGCTATACGCGCGGTAATATCCACTCAACTCTCATGCAACTCTTGTTCTCGTTTGACCGGGGCATAAGAGGTACGTAAAATTATCATGCAAACTCTCGCTTCTCAACTCTCATGCAACTCTTGTTCTCGTTTGACCGGGGCATAAGAGTTACGAAAAATATCATGCAAACTCTCGCTTCTCAACTCTCATGCAACTCTTGTTCTCGTTTGACCGGGGCATAAGAGGTACGAAAATTATCACGCAAACTCTCGCTTCTCAACTCTCCGCATCAACTCTCATACAGCTAACCGATCGGTACGAACAGTGAGCTCTATAGCTGGAGTCTGGAGACTCGAGTCCAAGCAGTGAGCTCCACAGGCAGTGAGCTTTGAATTTGTACTCGAGTAAAAGTAGAAGTAATTAACAATAAACGACTTGAGTAAGAGTAAAAAGTACTGGAGGCAAAACGTACTGAAGTAAAAAGTACAAAGTATCCTTAAAAAATACTTGAAGGTACAAAGTAAAAGTACTATTGTATATAGCATGTAAGGCAGGGGGGGGGGGGATTTCTCCAATGGATTGACATACAAAAGACACAAAACAGCACACGCATTATATGCGTGCACCTAATATACAATATTTCACGGCATGGTTTACTTTCCATACCCTGTTGAAGATATAAGAAGTCCATTAAATAAATAATGCTTATAAGTAAGCCACAAACGAGAGATCCCAGACGCATGTAGAGGTCCTATTACCTATCCCAAAATTAAAATAAATCCCGGATAAATCACGTAAAATTAAACAAAAGTCAGAAAGTTACGCCACAAAATGAAAATAACGAAGTAAAACGTTACTTCCTAAAACGACTTCGTTCCAAGTAAAAGTACTCCAGAAAAAGTTTACTTGTCGACTTCTCAAAAATAGTACTCAAGTACAGTAAAGCCCTGTGCAAACTAGGAAACATTGTTGAGGAAACATTGTTTCCTACCAATGTTTCGCCATGTTTCCCAGAGTGGGCAAACACTAGGAAACATTAGTGAGAAACATAGGGAAACATCAAATGTTTCTGAAGTTGGTAGGAAACATTTTTGCTTCCCGGGAAGCAAATTTTGTTTCCGCAACAATGTTTCCACGGGTGGGCAAACATGGAAACATTTGAGGAAACATCGAGAATCACAAATGTTTCCGCAACAATGTTTCCTAGTTTGCCCTTACAAAAAATATAAAGTTACTTTCGTTTTGTACATATTCGGGGAGTCCGAGCCCCTGCAGTTCCTCGAAACAGTCTCTTTCTCAATACTAATCAATTTCTACTCTGGAACAGCCCTGGGCTTAACGAAGTACATATAATTTTTTTTCTGTGTTCGTGTGGTGTACTCAGGTGAATATGATGTTTGTGATGTTACTCTGAGTGTATATATCCACTGGAGCGAGAACTTCAGTCATTCGGCTTATGAGAAAAGTGAAACCAAGATAAACAGGATACAAAACAAGTGTAACTCCAAAGATCGATAACATTTCTATATTTATACACTTGTTTTGTAGTTTATTACACTTGTTTTGTATTTTGTTAAAATACTCAGTGGTTTTAAAAATTTCAAGATAAACAGCTTTTACACCATTTTCCCCAGCCATAATTCCAGTTTTTCTAACGGACCGTATCGCCACAGAATAGGAAGGTATAGCAGAAGTGTAACTCAAGCAAGTATTTGTCCGCGTTTTTAGAAGCAATTCGTCATCAATCACGCCATCCTGGCTAGTACAACCGGCACTTTGTACCTACCATAACCTGATAAAAACTTCCGGTTGTACCAGCCAGGATGGGGTGAGCGAGTTAAAATTTTCGTGGTCGTAAACAATGAAGGAACCGACTCAAGTTACACTTCTGCTATACCTTCCTATTCTGTGGTATCGCTAACTAAGTTATCAGTTCATAAAACCATAGTGTTATTCTTTAAATCGATGTCAAAATACGAAATTTCGGCACACTTCTTGCCAAGATAGAAGAAATTGAAGGAGCTATTGGACGTCGGTTCCATTCTCTTGCTATTGTGTTTGTCTGCGCCGTTAACACGAAGCTGGGTCACTTTCGGGACTCGACATGCATACTTGTTAAAACATGAGCAGCCGATCTTTTTCTGATATACGAACTCGAGCCAAAGGCGAGAGTTTGTATATCAGATAAAGATCGGTTGCGAATGTTCTAACGTGCTTAAAAAACGACCCATCTTATGAGTTCATTGGCGAAGTAATTTTAAAATGATAAACATTGTCTAAGCCGAGAAAATCAAAGCTTAAGTTTATGTAAATCAGGACAAATCTTTACCCGATTTACAAACATGATTAAACATTCATTTCTTTTGAATTTTCCTCGTGAATTATTAAAGAATTTTTTAAATGTTGATAGAATAATTTTGCCCAGCTAAAATACTCAACTTCTGCGAAATAACAGTTCTCTGAGAAGCCAATTAGGATCTCTCTCTTTAGTCGTCTAATCCAGAGCCTAATTTTCAACGAGTGACCGAGTGAAATTTAGTGTGAAAATGGCTCTGGGGACGAGAATGATCAAGAAACGAAATACGCGTTGTCCACACAACGCAAAATTCTGATTGGTTGATACAGTTAATATAGTTAACTTATATGTATTGTTTTTCAAAGCCAACCGTCAAATTATATCATATTTATGATATTAATTTAATTCTCGTAGTATTTTTACTCATGCGCCTGTATTCTAAAAGCACACTCACACTCAATGAGTGGAGGTTCAATCTGAGCTTCCCTTCAGTGTCAATGCTGTTGTTGAATAGCTGGAGGGCTAGTGTCATGCCTTACTATGCGACTACTCACCCTCCAGCTATTCAAAACCAGTATTGACACTCAAGGGAAGCTCAGATTGAACCTCCACTCATTGAGTGTGAGTGAGCTTTTAGAATACAGGTGATACTGTCTGAAAGCGTTTAGTATGTTATTTCGAGCGAATACAGTTTAATGTAAATTGTAATACTATGTATTTTTGCTTGCAAAACGTAAACGCATTTGAATTTTTACTTTTAAAACAATACGATATGCGTCTATACATCAATATAACAATATACAATAAAGAATTACTTGTTTATAACGCCAAAATAATTATATTGGAGCGAAGGCAGTAAGGGGCGGTGCGAAAAGTGGGCGTATTTCGTTTCGTGATGTGTTGTCTGCAGTCCCTCCTTTCCTTCCAAAGAGGGACTGCTCGCAGTCTAGGTTTAACATAGTTCGTTCTTTAACATAGTTCGTTCTTTAACATAGTTCGTTCTTCTTATGATCAAGATTGAAAGCATTTCTTGTGTTGTAATTGTGAATATCGCTATTGTTTACAAAACAAATTGTTAAATGTCCCTTGTACTTGTGCTGTAATGTGTGGTAGTGGAACATGAATATTAGTATTTTCAAATTTTGAAACATTGGTTCAGTGACAGTGTGGTCGAATTTTGATTTAAATGACATTAAGCGGACAATTTCTTTTGTAATATACTTATTAATTTCTGAATCCGTGTTTTGTTAGTATTTCCCCATATACAAATTTACCATATGTCAAATAGTTTGTCTTAATAGTTTGTTTTTTGAAATAATCTGTCAGACAGATGCCGCCTACATGACGGATCGTTCATCTTTTGTACCGGTATATAAATCCTGCCAATAACGTATCGGTCAAAGTTAATAAGAACTTAAGAGTTAAGTTAAGTAGCTTCATATTAACATACTTCAGACATACTTTAGTTACTTCCTCTATCTATTAAAGGAGCTATCCTTATATGGAATGCTCGCTCTTGAGAGAAGACTGCCTAAGTTATGCCAACACCTTGTAAACAACGGGTTTTTATACAGTAAATATCAATAGATTACTAAGGTTAACCAAAATGTGTTGACTCAGCCAAACTCTGTTTGAATGTTATTAGGAAGTATGGCCACAACCTCAAATGGGACACAGGCCGATAAGGATCAAGAAATCTCCGAAGACAATGAGGAAAATTTAATGAAAGCCAACGATGATAACGGTGTAATTAAAGGGAGCGAACTGAACGAAGTGTCTCAAAGATCTAAATCAACGATCAGTATCACGTTAAACAACATCAAGGAACATGTCATGAGCACAAAACCAAAGAAACGAAGACTTTTAGGAAAGCGAGGCGCGCTCAAAGTTAAGGCTTACAACACAGACAAGGGTGGCTTGTACTTCTCAGACTTATTTACGACTCTGGTTGACGCGGATTGGAAATGGATTATTGTATTTTTTGCTTCGTCTTTCGTCGCATCGTGGTTGATGTTTGCTTTGCTTTGGTTTGCGGTGGCTAAATCTAGAGACCCATATGAATGTTTGGACAATGTCGATTCCTTCCCGAGTGCATTGCTACTGTCAATCGAAACGCAAACAACAATAGGGTATGGAGGAAGGGCAGTCACCCCTTCTTGCCCTGACGCCATTATTATTCTAATAGCCCAATCTCTGATAGGACTTCTCATGTCAGCCTTTCTACTCGGGTTAGTCTTCACAAAACTAGCCCGGCCAAGCTGCAGGGCCGACACTCTGCTCTTCTCTAAACATTCTGTAGTAGCACCCCGAGACGGGAAACTTTGTCTGATGTTCAGAGTCGGAGATATTCGTGATTCGCGAATCCTTGACGCCGAAATCCGAGTGCAACTGTTTCGTACCCGATGCACGGCCGAAGGCCAAGATATTCCTTTCTATCAACAGGACTTGAAATGCGGTATTGACTGGAGTGATAAAGGTTCTGGGAACAACAGCTTGTTTTTGATATTACCATTGACTATTGTGCATGTTATTGATGAAGATAGTCCTTTTTACGAGATGGGACCGGAAGACTTTAACACGTCTGCAGATTTTGAGGTTGTGGCAATTCTCTCAGGAACCATAGAGTCGACCAGCATGCTTGTGGAAGCACGAACTTCCTACCTGGGGGATGAAATATTCTGGGGACGCGATTTTGCACAAGTTTTACACGAGAAATGCTGGGACCCACACCAAGGAAAGTACTTGGTGGATTTTTCGCTGTTTCATGCTACAATACCAGTACAGCTTCCTCAAGTTCCTGCGAAAGAGTTTTATAAGAAGAATCAAGAGGACGATGAGGTTCACAGAATTATTAAAACAGCTCGTACGGCAAGTAGGAGGATTATATCTCGCAATGCGCAACAGGAAGGACTGGTGAAGAGATATACTGAACTGTGGAAGCGAAAGTTCACGGCTATTCCAGAAGACTAACATGATTTTGAATGGGTGATTCCAGTCATAGACTAGATTTTGATCTAGAAGAACGAAATCCAACACCACATCTAGAAAGAGCATCTTAGAACGAGTAACATTGCAAAGTTTGGTTGCGAAATGTTGTAAAATGAAGAAAATATAGCCCTGTGAAGTTCGCAAATTTTGTATATATTTGTATTACGCGCGGTAAAAATAACCACTTTCGGTTAAAAAATGGTTATTTTTACCGCGTGTAATGCAAATATATACAAAATTTGCGAACTTCACATGCAGGGCTATATTTCCCTCATTTTACAACAATTCGCAACCAAACTTTGCAATTTTACTCATTTTAAATTTTAAGATGCTCTTTCCAGCTGTGGTAATGGATTTCATTCTTCTTGTCTAGATCAAAATTTCGTCTACAGCTGGAATCATCTATTATGATATACTGTACGATATAGAGCAACTGGACGCATATTTAATATAATTTAAGGGATATGGAGCCGGGCTGGCCCGGTTAACAGTGATGATTCGATTAATAAAGTTCTTATCACGGCTTTGATAAACATCTGAAATGACATTTCAAAGTTGAATTAGCTTAGTTTGATTCCAGTAACAGTATATACAGGGTGTATGAAAAAACCCTGCACAGTTCGAAAATATTCGCAAGCATGGGTATTTTTTGGGGGTCTGCTTATCTGCTAGTATCTTTACTACACACACAAAAATCTCACATCTTGTAGCAGGTCTGCTAACAAGCCGTTAACAAGTTGTGTTCGCACTGCTTGTTCCAAATTGTCAACAAGTTTGGAACAACTGTTAACAATTTGTAACAACCTTGTTGATATTATCAGGCCTGTTTCCAACAAGTCCTATACAGTTATGATATAGCAGTATTGCTACAACCTTGTGTCGTCAACCTTGTAACATTCTTGTTTATCATGATTGTATCAGACTTGTTAGAACAACCTTGTGACAAGTTTGAAAATGCCATCAAGTTTGTTAGAAGTTGTTAACAGCTTGTTCCAAACTTGTTTTAACAACTGGGAACAAAGCACAAACAAAGCACAAACTTGACAGCTTGTGCGCAAGCCATTTTTAAAGTGGTTTTTAAAAACAACCCTCATGGAGTCATACACTTGAAAATTCACGTTTTAAAATAATTTTAGTGGTGAAGTAGTTTAGCTAATATTTTCGAACTGTTGTGCACTTTTTTGTTACACTCTCATGACACTATAATATGACAGAACACTGCACACAATAGAAAATTGAATTTAGGCTCTTGTTCATGCGAGGCCAGACGCGAAATATTTGGTTATTCGCCGAAGGCGAGGTGATTATCGGGGAATATTCACCGAGACGAAGTCGAGGATATGAGTATATGACCATCAGCGTTTGAATTCCATATCAGAATCATTCTCCGACTGTATGAAAAACTAGTTTCATATTCTGGCACTGCAGAGCACAACGAAAAATTCGTTGCCTTGGAGCAGGTTCTAGACCGCCGCTCAACTAGTTATCGAGTTAACGGGGATTGGTAGCGAGTCTTATCCAATTTATTTAATAATCTCGTAACGAGATTGATTTGTTTAAGTGCATTAACTTAACGCTTGTCTTGAAAGGACGCGCAGGCCGCAGTGTGTCAATTCTCTAGTTCAGAACCATCCGTCTATATCACAGAGTAGATAAGACATACAGAGACGTAACTGACCGTTGTAAACACTGCGGAAGATTACGTTATCATGTACCCACTTTTTTTCAAGCGACCGGGCAAAAAATGATCAACTGCGCGTGCTCAGCAAGTTTAAAATGAGTCGTCATCAGGTCGTCATCCAATCAGATGCATGCATCTAGTAACTTGCCGAGCATGCGCACAAAAAAAGTGGGTACACTAGTTACGTCTCTGTATGTCTCTACTCTGTGTCTATATCGAGGCTTGCAGTGTGACGTCAGAATCAGGGCCGACGAGAGAATTCGCGGGGCCCGGGGCAAATCTTCCTTGGGGGTCCCCCGTTCTCGTACCCAGAGCCCTTCTTACGCGCGGCGCTCTGGCCAAATCCATAACCGAATACCATGAAAACATGGTAAAAAAACAATATCCTGTGTTAGAACTAGCCAATCAGATGCCAGTTCGGATATGGATTTGGCCGGAGCCCCTCGTCGCGCCGCACGTAAGGGCTCTGGGTACGAGAATGGGGGGCCCCATGACATTACTTTAAGCTAGACTGTATGTGGAGGTACTGTTTATAAGGGGCCCCGAATTTCAAAAATTCTCTGACCAATTTAAAGAACCTTACTCAATTTTATGCTCTCAAGTTGGGGGCTCTATTAAGCTGGGGGCCCGGGGCAATTTGCCCCCTCTTCGGCAGCCCTGGGTCTGAATATGAAACTAGTTTTCGCACGCTAGAACAGGGGAGTTGTGAATTGCAATTGGGAGTAAAGCAACATGACCTCACCTTTATTTTAATAATCTATTTCCCCTATTTTCATTAAGGGCACATGGTTAATAGACCGTTATCATTAAAAGAAGGGTGAGGACATATTGCATCTTAACCAGATGGAAGTCTCAATACACACTGCAAGTCATATATTAATGCAGCCCAGCAGGACTTGCAACATGCACTGTTTCAAACAAATCCAAGCAAATATAGAATACTGCACAGGTGATATACTAACAACTAATATCAAAACTAAAGCAACAAATGTTTTCAAAATATTTTTATTGTTTATTATTACAAATATATCTATGCTGACAGTTTGATCAGTAAAGTTTTATCACAGAACACACATTTCAAAACAGGATTTTATTATTTTTATTTGTTAGCTTTACAGAAGTCCTATTAAATATGTAACAATGATTAAGGGTATGGTCAACGAGTCCCATGTGAAGACCAACATGAATATGATAAGATTAAATTGCAAGTTGTGCAACTCCGTTTTGTGTATAGTACTATAGTAGATTTATCCAGAATGGTAGAAGTTCGAACACCTCTTGTGGGGACCATGGCAATAACAGCACCTTGAAACAAAGCAATCATTTTAGCAGACAATCTTTGTAATTCAGAAGTAGAACTTGTATGTTACAAGCAATGGCCCAACAACATCAGATGTCAGAAGTTATATCCTGTTAAGGAATCATCACAGTATAATATGATGGGGGCATTAGGTTTGTCATCATTTGTTGGTAGACCTGACAATCTAATGTATACTTTTTTCCAGTTATTATCTACTCACAAAGGCTGGATATGTCTAACCAGACTACAGACACCAAACAAGAATTCGCACAGTATTAACCAACATACAATTCTTATCCTTGCGCAGATCTGCAATTAACATAAAGATCATATATCAGTAAATTATGCAAATAGACTTGGTTTGTTTATTAACCTGAAATAAGTGGAACATCAGCAAGTTCTGGCTATATAATAACAGCATTGTCGATAAGCTGGGGAAAAAATTAGTCATCAATTGTTCCAGGGTACTATTAATAACCAATGTACAATATCCAATTCAATGTTTTAACACATTGGGCACCAGCACTAGAATAGTCGAGTCAGCTGCATCAGGGCACATTGCCGCTTGAAGTGTTAAAGCAAAATAAAAGTGAACATAATTATGAAGCACAAGGTCAATCACCTTTTACTAATTGCACAGCATTGCCTAACCATCTATAAAAAGACAACAAGCAATTCAGTTAAATGACACAAGACAAGACTTCAGATGTACAAGAAAATGTAAATATGGAAGTGGAGCATCAGTAAGTTCTGGCTTAAAGACAGCATAATATCACCATGGTCGATAAGTTGGGGAAAAAAGTAAGTCATCATTTGCTTCACTAAATATTAAAATAAGAACCGTTTTCATGGACTTTTGTTGCTTTACCTTTTATCAAAGAGACCAACTGTGACACTTCATAGGACCTGCAAAATTAAGATATTTTTGCAAATGTGAAACCCAACAACTTGTCAAAATTACTAAATGGCAAATTATCAAATGGTCGTTTGTTGTCAGTCAGACATCCAAGGAAGATTGACCATCATCGAAATGACAGAGCATCACTTTGGTGGAAACTGCGAATATATGGGTAAACATCATCATTCTGACAACAATCTTCAAGGGTTTTTGCAAAGAGCGACATTGTTCGGACACCTACCCATTTAAGCAAGGATATCATGTTTTTGAAGCACAACATCCAGCCAGTACCAGGGACAAATCACACAAGTGAAGTAGACTTATGTTTCATTCCTGTAAAGAAACAAAGAATTGGTTATTGGTATGAAGTGATGAGAAGATATGTTTTGACATACAGTAATTTCACAGTAAAATTATTGTCAGTCAGACATCCAAGGAAGATTAACCATCATCGAAATGACAAAGCATCACTTTGGTGGAAACTGCGAATATATGGGTAAACATCATCATTCTGACAATTTTTTAAATGACCAAATTATGAATCTCCCCGTACCATTGAACGAGTTTATTCCAAATACTGGACATCCTAACAAGTAAACAAATAAAAAATAATTAAATGTTGGCAATATTCTTTATCATACAAGCAACTACAAACTAGAGTATTTCTCAGTCTGACGTACATCTCAGCATTTTATACTAAGTCAGGGATAACTGCGATATTGTCTTCATCATTGGTAAATACTCAATCACTTTAAGACAAATCATTATGCTACAAATCACATACCAGCTGGTATTTCTGTAGGCTTTCTTTATCTTGCATCATTTTGTGTTATAATTACGGACAATCTACATATAATACCAAATACAGTCATTATGAGTTGTTGACATTTCAAAACATTTGCAAAAAGGAGTTGTAATTTATAATTAGGCTCAGAGTCAGAAAAGTATTTTATGAATCATGGTGCTGAACACTCAGATAAGAGGTGTCAGTAAAGAATTCATCATTGCCTAATTAAAAATGTACAGAAGCAACTAAAATAATAATAGTACCAACAAATTGCTTACTAACTTTGCACTTGTAGCCTTCATCTTGCAAGACTGATACACCCTTAAATTATACAAAAGATAGTTGGTATTTAGAAGTTCCTATTAGGTCAACACAAACAGACATACATATATAAAACTACAATGTCAGACAGCCAAGGGTTGTGTCATCAATTTTTTCAGAGACTCTAGTCTAAAAAAACTTTCATCATTCATTGTAGCATCTAAATATTGCTAAAAAAAACACATTTGGTAATATACAATCCTTACAGGTAGAGAAATCCCATTGTACATTTTCCATCCATTTAATCTTCTCGTACAAAAACAGAGGCCTATATGATAAAGTAAAAATTACTAAATTTTTCAATCAGATATTACAGATATACTGGTCAACAACTTAATACATGTGCAAGACCCTCTCATTGACAAGTAAAAATCATCAAGTAAAATAACAAATCTGGGTGCATTGCAGTTTAATTAATCAGTATATTTACTCTCAGACAAATGCCTCGATTGTCATCACTGGATAATAACTCAGTCTCGTCATCATAGTCATCACAGAGTATTATATTAAATTGCACCTTTGGCCAGACCAAGAGGTTTTGGGAGCTCCGAAGCAAATTTTCTTGCATTCCTAACGACAGAAACAATGCTATGTTGGGCCCACTCCCCTGTAGAGACCCCAAGTGTGACCCCTTTCTTGGCAGCTTTGTGACAGGCAACCATAACAGGCAGAATATTGATGAATGTTTATTTACTGTAGTATTTTTAAAAACGCCATGGTTATAGACCAGACATTTTGCCGACTTTGTGTCCTATAGTTAGGCCTAATATTTGGTAATGTCTTCCCTGGCACAAAAATAAAACCTAATCACAAAAATAATGGTCCGTTATCACAGAGACATTGAAAAAACCTTTTATCACTGAATCTACCACAAGATAAAATTCACTGAATCTACCACAAGATGAAATATGAAAAGAATTTGCCTTCACCAGGGATTGAACTTGGTAGTTCTGCGATGGCATGCCACTGCTTTACCACTACACTACAAGGGGCAACAAAAAACAAGCAGCAAAAATGTCCGCTTGATAGTCAATGTTGCATAATTATATGAACAAATTTTGACATGATGCAAATATTTCAGTAATTTCACTTAGTTCAGTTTGGGTATTGGACAACCTGAACCAATATTTTTTATCATTTCAGAAAGCAAAGCAGTCAGGTAGTTATATAATTTTTGAGTGCATTGGTTAGACTAGGTAATGTCGGATCTATAACCATACAACAAGATTCAGTGTTCGACCAATAACCAATGTATGTCTTCACTAAGCAAGCCAACCCCCTAGAATTTTTTTTACAGAAGATATAAATGTATACACGAAGAACTATAAACTACAAGAAATATATCATAGTTTAATCATTTCTACGCATAAAACTGCCAGTTAGAAATCTTAGAAAAGAACGCCACACGTGGACATTCTTTTCGTGCCACGTGCGCAACATCTCCTCTTCACACACATGCCTCGTGCGAACGAACATTTCTGTGTTTTTCACGCTTAAAAATCGGCTATCAACCCTCGTTTGTTTTTCCTGGTACTAAAATTCAATGTGTTAGACCTAAATAATTAACGTTAGATAAAAAATTCCAGATTTAAGCGCAGAATAATGCGAGTCTAGTTGACCATGTGACCGCCATTCCGACGAGGCGCAAATATTTTTTCACGTTGATTGCAAACACTTCTACAGCCCGAAATAAATATCGCAAGAATCAAGTAGTTAAGTTTTGTATTGGGTTTATACTTACGGGCAATAACCAAGCGATTCAGCTCAAAAGAGGTTCGATTTTTATCCAAAAAATCTCAACTATTTCCAAACTCTCTTCGATCATGTGAAAGCTCGTGCTGAAAGGACGCTAATATTACATTACTTGTTTTTATAGCCGTGGTCACATGACCTTCATATCATGAACCAATCAAATTGTTCTTCATTGGGCTTCCACTTTGAAAAATAGTTACTTCCTTATTGTAATACAATTTTCTATATTTTGAAATTTTGTGAATTTTTGTTGGCTCATGCAAATTTCAACGCGAACTTTCAATTTTTAATACCTATACGCGTACGATAGACGACCGTTGAAATAAAACGAAAGTTTGCAATTTTTTTGCAATTAGAAAAGCGAAAAGCATTTTAAAATTTACAAATTTCCTGATAAGGAAAAGAAGGAAAATTACTGACATTACTGTATTCGTGAATATTTTCAGCGAATGATCTCCGGAGGTTCACGATTTTTTCCGATATCTTTCTGACAGATGAAATATTAAAGCAAACAAATAGAAAATTCGCGAGGTAACATTGGTAACCAGGTTTCTTTGTCAAATCGCTTTTTGAGCTTTATATGAAAAATCACTCCAAGTTCGTGTGATTTTGTGATTTCTTTTGCAAGCAATGTCTCCTCTGACTTAGAAAATAAAGTAGTAAAACTTTAAATAAACAAACCTCAAGCTTTGCAGAATTCCAGAACAAATTAAATTTGTCGCAAATTATCAATTATTAATGCCTTGGAAAATTCCTGGTCGGGGAACGGCCGATAGTATGCCGTTTATCTCCACTGAAAGAACAGGCAAAAAACGACTTGTTTCCAAGGATGGCGATATTATGTTTGAAGTAAGAAATGTGAACGAAAGATGGCGCTTTGTTGTTGATTTATTCACATCCCTGATTGTCCTAAAATGGCGATGGGTCTTGCTAATGTTCTGTGCAAGTTATGTTTTGTCGTGGTTGGTTTTTGGCGGGTTATGGGCTCTTTTGGTTGTCGCGTACGGCCCAGGGTACTGCGTTGACCAGGTAGGCAATCAGATATTTTAAGTACTTTGAGAAATTTTGGAAAAATATTATGTTTAAATAAGTGATATAATTATATTAGATAGTAGCTCATTAGTATTCTGGGATAGTTATTAATATCTAATGGGTTGTGGTTTGTGGTTAAGATTTTATCAGCACAAGTTTTTACTATACAAAAGAATGGCCTATATTTTTTCAACTAATATTCGGTCCTGACTAGAAAGTTTGGAAATTGCTCGGCCGGGATTTCGAAAATAGCTCACCCGATATATTGGTTGCATGTTACAAACTTTCCACACTGGTATTCAGTCATCAAATTGGAAATATCAGAGGGAAATGGCATTGAAGTTGAATATCTGTCAAGGGTTAGCTGGTCATGCGACTGCACAGAAATTAATTATAAACAACAAGTTCAAAACCGTTTAATTATACAACTCATTTTGCATCGATTGTATAAGTGCACTTTGATATTGTAGCAGTTCAATCTTATTTATAGCAGTAATCAATTACTTTTTAACAAGTAATTCGTAATTAATTACTTTTGAAAGGAAGTAATTTGTATTTTCTTACCTTTTCGGAGAAGTAACTGTAATTTTTTACCCTTCACTTTTTTCGGGTAATTTTTACAACACTCGTGAATTCTAATTTAAACAGGTGGACGACTTCACAAGTGCATTTTATTTCTCAGTTGAAACTCAACAAACTATTGGTTATGGTGGCCGACAGATTACGACCAAATGTGTTGTTGCTGGCTTACTACTGCAATTCCAATCCCTTGTTGGAAATTTGATTGAGTGCATTACTCTCGGACTTATATTCTCCAAGATAATACGGCCAATCAAACGAGCAAAAACGGTCGTGTTTTCAAAGAAAATGTTGATAAACAGAAGGGGAAACCAAATGTGCCTGATGTTTCGATTAACAGACCTGCGCGATAGTCAGATAGTTGAATCACATGTGAGGCTGCAACTGTTTAGTACTTTTGAGGAAAATGGTAGAATTTACCCCCATCACCAACAAGACCTTGATGTTAAGTATGATTGGAATTCAGACAGTGATAAGCAAGATCAACTGTTTTTACTAATACCGCTAACAATCATTCACATTATCGATGAAAATAGCCCATTTTACGACTTAACGCCAGCAACATTGTTGACGTCCAAATTTGAAATGGTCGCAGTTCTTGATGGAATTGTAGAGTCGACAGGCATGAACACACAAGCAAAGACATCGTACCTGCCAGACGAGATACTCTGGGGGTACGATTTTGTGAATTTAATGTCCGAGGATAATTTTGATAGCGTTACAGGGAAGTTCTGGGTGGATTTTGAACGACACGATGATGTGGTGCCAGTAGAATTACCTAAATGTTCAGCTCGAGATCAACACGAGTTGTCGTTAACCAGATCTAGTATTATATAACTGAGAGTAGTGTTCGTAAAAACGGTACCAACAAAGATAATTATTGGCTGATGTTGAATTAATGTGGCAACGTGTTATGTGCATAGTTATAAATATTAAATAATTTATATCTCATGCCTTGTTAATTCTTATAATAATTTTTATTTTATCAGGATTTTGGGGCATATACCTTACTAAGGCATCAGTGATCACCTTAGTATACAGGTGAGATCTTAGAGACATGGTAAATATCTCCTTACGAGAACAATCAATTCACAAATAGCTGCAATATTCAACTACTAAGCTTGAAACTTGTGTTCCCATTAAGCTTTGTGCACTTAGAGTTTAAGGTTTAAAGTTTAGAGTTTAATGTTTGCAAAGGACAATCTTAAGTTTTTGAATTAGCTGTATACAAAGGTCGCGCTTATTTGCAAAGGTCGCCACATGCAAAGCTTCTGTCAAAAGCTTACGCGCCATGATTTTGTGTTTTTTTTCGCGCCACAATTTTTTCAACTTGGTTCACTACTGCAAAGTCTTGCTTGACTACTGTAATTTGAATTGTAATTGTTGTTCACAGTTCGCTTATCATCATGTTATGACTCAAATTACTGTATCTCATTTTGTCTCTAATAATTTTTTGCTTTATCATGAAAAATACCCCCTGCACCCCCTCTGGCCAGGGTTAGGGGGTGCACCCCCCCCCCAGTAAATCCATCCCTGAATCAACATAATAAAAGGCAGAGCACACTCATACATTTTCACAATATTTATTTCTATCTATCTGGTGACCATACAAATAATGAACGTTCTCTTAACACTCGTATGCCTATTGTATTCCACTCAGCCTGAGTGATCCAAAGCTCTTGAGCTGAGTCCAATATACCAAGGATTGCACCACCTTTCCAACATATCGTTCTCGCATCAACATCCTGAAAAATATCGTATTCACGTGCTCACTTTACTGACACAATATAGTGGCTCTGATGGTTTGTCTGGATGAACTTGAGTATAAAGAAAAGATGGCTCGTTTGGGGTAACCCATCTTTGTATCAACCAGTGATGTAGCCAGAGGGGAGGGGGGGGGAGGCTGGGGCTACATTGTGTACGGTGATCATTTACTTATACCAAATTCGAAATTTTCATCTACAAAAAACTAAATGTGCATAAACATATAGTGTTCTAGCTGAGCATGGTTTTAAATTCAAGGAATAATGTCCGTCAACCATACGTTGTTGCGCCCATAGTGAGACATGGGTGTTAAGGTTTCCTTCAAATTTTCGAAGAAACGAATTTCCTGCAGCTGTTTAACATCCCATTTTTTCCACCCCTATGAGATGCCTGAAATCCTGATATCTGCTGAGGTGATGCGATGGTATCTTTTTTTGTAACATATGGGTATATGGAAAGTTCGGATTCATAGGGATGCAACTACGTGAAAAATATAAGGAAAACTTCGATGTTTCGAGCGAAGGCCTTTCGACGTCCTCACGCGATGCATGTATACTTGTAGTTAATGCTCAGCAACTGGCCTCTGTAGCTCAGTTGGTTCGAGCACTGTACCGGAGTCGCAGGGTCGCAGGCAGGATTTAGGCTAGGGTTTTAGAACTTGGGCGTGTTTCTAATGACCAAGGTATGCACATGTCAATTACCTTGAATAGCCAAATCACGATTCTAGTTATGCCGCCAACAACAATTTCTGTAGTTGTTCCATGTTTTGCAACCAAATACAAGGCGAGCACACGCTCATATTGCGCACTGACATTAAAATATTAACTCAAGTTATTTCAGCAACTCTTGGGGGTATTTAAAACCATTTTAACACCATACAGTTCCCATTATCCATCAAAACATTAAAACATCACGGATCACTTTTGCCAATTCAACAACAACAGTAGATTTTACAAACTTTCTCACGACGTAAATAGGAAGAAATTATGTCTGTTGTAAGTAGCACCACCTTATTTTATGAACCTACACGGCCTTATATAAATGGTGAAGCCGCGTTCATTTTATCTAGCCGTGTTTGGCCGCGATAACACGGCCCTCTAGCTAAGACCCTGGTCCCAGGTTCGATTCCTGCCAGGGACCTGTAGTTGCATTTTTTTTCACAGATATTCCTGGTTTGGTCTAAATAAATGTATAAAATTCAGATTCGAAATTTCCATCTACAAAAATACCTTTGGACAAGAGAGGCTCTTACCCTAGATTTAGCCATGACGTCTACAGATTCAGCCAACTTGGGTTGTTTTCTGTTTAATAACTTTGCTTTTAGTCTTTCCTGTAGTTTGCTCAGAGCTCCGTTAAACATAAATCCTCCTCCGATAAGAAGAATATTACTGTACAGCTTTTGCTGAGTTTCTTCCGATCCTGAAAATACCGCAGCGGCGTAGTTAACATATTGATATACATGAGAGTCTCCCCTTAACTCATCTGGTAAACTTAGACCATTTTTCATTTGTCTACTTTTATTGGTCCAATATTACATGTACTATATAGAAGGCAACTTTCACTAAACACAATATACCCATACTAACTAGCGCAATTTTAGACTCCCCCCCCCCCCCCCCCCCCCCCCCC